TCTGGAGAACAGGGTTTCTTCACTCAGCATGGAAACTCACTGGGGGAGTGGAACTGGTAAAACCACTCCTTATATATTTCACTTATCTTGAAAGCCCTGCTGTATTAGGGTTGCTATAAGTCGGCTCTGACTTGACAACATGAAATATATACACACAGAGTTCAAGTACCAAACATATACAAATTCCAAACATAGAACTGGGCTTACTAAATCTATACAATCTGAATGAATTATACATCTCACCAAAGTCAAGACTCACTTTTACATTGCTAGATGAGAAACATTAAATAATGTTCTGCTTTATAGTGTGTATGTGTGACAGTAGAAAATAGATACCTATATTCTTCACTTACTCCATAACATAGCATGAAGTGTGGATTACAATTATAAATGTGCATGATTCCCAAACATACACTGGAAATTAGATTTCTACTTTAAAAAGTAGCAGAAAATTATTTGTTTGGAATGTCAGTCGACTTTATTTTGTACTATTATGTTTAACAATTCACATTCTTTTCTACAAGGAAATATCACCAAATTTCAAACCCTTCCATAGCTGATATTTACAACACACTAGACTCAGAACAGGTTTACAACTTATTTGGCCAATGAGACAAGGCAGGAGGACACCACTCTAATTTCTCTGATTTAAAATATATGTACAGTGGTGCCTCGCTTTACGATTGCCCCACATTACGACGAATCCACTTTACGGCGATCTTTTTGCGATCACAATGGCGATCGCAAAACAATGGTCTAAATGGGGGAATTTTGCTTTGTGATGATTGGTTCCCTGCTTCAGGAACCGATTCTTCGCAAAACGATGATTTTTAAACAGCTGATCGGTAGTTTCAAAATGGCCGCTGGGTAACTAAAATGGCTCCCCGCTGTGTTTAGGGATGGATTTCTCGCTATACAGGCAGCAAAAATGGCCGCCGTATGGAGGATCTTCGCTGGACAATGAGTTTTAAGTCCATAGGAATGCATTTGAAAGGTTTTCAATGCATTTCAATGGGCTTTTTATTTTTGCTTTACGATGTTTTCGCTTAACGGCGATTTTCCTGGAACGGATTATCACCGTTAAGTGAGGCACCACTGTATAACAGTTGGGGGGAGTTGGTAGATCATATGATTTGGAAGAACCTAGTTCTTTGTTTCTCCCATACTGCCTCTATGATTTAAATAAGCTCCTTTGACAACTCTCACTTATTCCTTCATAACAGTTCACTGGGTTATCAAGCCTTACGAACCATAGAGAAACCAGAAGCCATTTGGAAATCTTTTACATTTTAAATTAATAGTAAAGAAGATGCTTTCCCATAAATTTGTATCACAACACTGTAAGAGATGTGCAATGTGCGTAGGCTCAAACTGGCATGCCTTTATAGTGAAATTACCCTGGAATAATAACTGGAAGGAAACAATTGCAGACCTAGCTGTAGCCCCTTTGAAGGGAGTGTTTCTAAATATTAAAGAAATGCTCTTGAAATACCCCACAGATAGCCAGCTCTTACACTGCTCCTATAAAGCAGTGACCCAAGTTCTATTAATTATGTCAGCCAGCACAATGTATTTGGCATAAATCTCAGCAATGAATTGCCACAAGTGAAGAATTTAGCAATGAATCTCAGCAATGAATTGCCACAGGTGAAGAATTTAGCATTCACTGTTGTGTTGTGAGTTGCACAACTAAGCATGTAAGAGTAAATGTCTACACTAACTTCCTCACTTGAGGCAACTCACCACCAAGATTTACTGGCATAAAAAAGCAATAGGACCACTGATTCTCAATCAATGGTATATGTACCACCAGTGGTATATAGAAGTAGTCTAGAATTCACTCTCCCTCAGTTCTCACATCCTTATGTATGTGTGATGCTCCATCTTCTATTAATCCTACCTCCTACAGATTATCCACTCTGACCTCTTGAAAACTATTAATAACCGTGGACCCTTAGCATTTCACCTGATCCCCTGTTCTCCTTGCCCACACAGTTAATGATAAATAAAGTAAGAAATCATTGTAAAATGTTTAATTATCCTTATTGGGAAAATTGGGGTTTTGTTCCAACACAATGGGGCTGACGTGAGTTCTGTGACAGAGCAACTGGTGGAATATAAGATACCAGAAGTTGAAAGTAACTGCTATAACACTCTTTAAGCAATCTGAAAAGAATGGTAAAATTTTATTTCATGACCCTGTATTAGTATACACCTTAAATATCATTGACTTGCAGCAGTGCCCAAATCATGGCAGAAGAGGCTATAGCAAATGAGTCGGAGGAGATCCATAAATGCAACCAGCACAATTCATGTCCTAATACTGGTTGCTACCTAATGCAAGAAACATAAAAACTGCTATCTGCTAAAAAACAAACAAACATGATCTTAAGTGAACACCCACATCCATGAGACTGACAAGGATCCAAAGCAGTAAAAACAAGACACAAATAACAAAGACAGCTAGGATTATTCCTTGATAGCTAAAGTCACAGTGTTTGTGGAATGTGCCAATCAAGCCAGGTATCTTGGGATCAGTTTCAATTGCTATAGCACAATGATGTGGATAAGACACCTAAATCAGCCATCTCTACCAGATTTAAAGCTGATTATTCCCATCTTGGCTCACAAGATCTCGTAGAGGTGGATTGCTAGAGCAGGCCTAGGTTGAGGATGGTACCTGCCACTCTAAAAGGGACAGTGGTGCACCCTCTGATGGAACCCAGAGATACTTAAAAATTACCTTCCCAGCACAAATGTCTTTTAGGGGCATGGTGCTTGAGTATGTTGTGTCTGGGAAGAATGAAACATACTTAGAAGAAACAGCTTACCTGGATCTATTTCAAACTGGTTGCGCACCAGAGTTTATTACTGAAATGTCCGTCTTTGTCCTGACTGATAACCTACTCCATGGGATAGACAGGTAGAGTGCTGCCCACTGATCCTCCTGGATCTCTCAAAGAATTTTGACACCACTGATCATAAGGTAATGTCCCCTTGACATTTTTAGTCCAGTCGTGTCCAACTCTAGGGGGCAGTGCTCATCCCGTAGAGCCAGCGCTTATCCAAAGACTGTTTCCGTGGTCATGTGGTCAGCGCGACTAGGAAACACTGTTTTAACCTCCCACCAAGGTGGTACCTATTTATCTACTCCCATTTGCATACTTTCGAACTGCTAGGTTGGCGAGGAGCTGGGACAAAGCAACGGGAGCTCACTCCGTCGCATGGATTCAATCTTACGACTTCTGGTCTTCTGACCCTGCAGCACAGGCTTCTGTGGTTTAGCCCACAGTGCCACCACTTCCCTCCTGATTATACTATCCCATTAAACTGGCTCCATCGGATGGGAAAAGAAGACACTGTGTTGCAATGACTGCATTCCTGTGTTGGGCTGGCTCGAGAGGGTAGGATTAAAGCAGTGGTTCTTGAACTGGGGTCCCCAGATGTTCTTGGACTGCAGTTCCAAGAAGCCTTCAGCACTTGCTGTGCTGGCCAGGATTTCTGGGAGTTGCAGTCCACAAACATCTGGGGACCAAAGTTTGAGAACCACTGGATGAAAGGACCAGTTTAGCTACATGACTATTAATCTGTGAGATACTGCAAGGTTCCATTCTGTTTCCAATACTGTTTATTATGTTTACTGCTAGGTGTAGTAATCAGAAGTTGCAGAGTCAGATGGTACCAGTTTGCCGATGAAACTTGGTTCTATTTCTCCTTCACATTAAGTCAGCTGAGGCTGTGCATACGCTGGATAAGTAGCTGTAATGGACTAGATGAGGACTAGTAAATTGAAGCTGCATCCTGACAAGATGGAGCCCACCACTATGGATTGGCATTCCCCACTCCAAGAATTGGGTAATAAGCTACTTGCCTAGGAAGGCCCTATCTATCTATCATTTAGGGTCTGTATGTGTCTATGCGTGTGTGTGTGTATCATTACACACACACACACACACACACACACACACACACACAGTGTGTGTGTGTGTGTGTGTGTGCGCGCGCGCGCCTGAACACTGAGATCTGTTGGGGGGCTCCTATATTTCCCAGCATTGAGAACAACCTACTAATGTGGTTGATCAAGTCCTCCGCTGAGGTGTCCTAGTTCAGGAATGCATGATTGCTGCCAATATTGGTTTCAGTTCAGTGTCGAGTAAAAATGTGGCTCTTCACCAAAGTCTTTGGGGCTTAAGGATCTGGCCTGAATAAGTTATAAAGTTTAGCTCTGAATAAACAATCTTCACTGGTTTTAAACTTTTAATTATTTTATAGGCTTTAGTCTATTTAAAACTGACCAGAATCCTATTGGTGTTAATTTATTTTACCATGGCTAATTGCAGCTAACTGAAAAGGTACCAGGTTGTGTATTAGTCACATGTCTGGTCCTGCACCCGGTTGCACAAGATGTGCCCTGGCACCTTGTCAATTAGTTACCGCAAGTTATCCAAACCTGCTGTGAATGTCTAAAAGGTTCCAGGCTGTGTTTCATAAGTTTTAAACACTTTTAAATTGCATTAAATTGCTTTCTTTCTTTGTAACCTGCCCCAAGATCTTTTGATATAGTGCAGGAAAGCATATTCAAAAATCATGATAATAAGCATATAAACGGAATGGTGGCAATCCAGGACCCTTTCTGGTAATTTTTCAATATGGGACAGAATGAATGAAAAGAGTTCTAGACTGCCAGTCAATAAAATGCTGTGGCTGGATTCCTACTCCTTAACACACTTCATAAAAAGTTGCATAGTTGCAGTCGTGTCCAATGAGCTAAGCCATTACAAACAGTTCAAGTAGTTTTCAGGAACTGCAATTTAAGGAAATGTGCAATTCAGAAGGGAATGCATGTTCAGACATGGAAACAAGTAAGAAAGAAAAAAGGAAGGTAGGAAGACCTGATATAAACTTTATTTTTCTGGCCATTCACAAGTGAAGCCTAAAATATGAATCTATTCATCCATAGGATTGCTATATTGCTCAAGGAAAACATGTATTTTGATTACCTGTGAATGTTATCTTCACCAGAAGGAACTACACCAAGGTTTGCTACTCCTACCACCTTCTGCAATATTATAGGGCGAGCAGAGTTCTGCGGAGCAACAGTAATGGTAGCAGAGGTTTCATTCATACCTGTTAACCTTCCTGAAATAATAAAACAAAAACTGTGTATTCATCAAATGACTCATTTTAAAAACCTTACTGTAATGTTTTGTTAACCCCCTTAATAGAAGTTCGAAATTAGTTTTTAAAGAGTTTCTGTATATTTCGTAGGCCCACAATATGAATACATCCTCAATTAAGAGCTATTTGTAAACTACACATTTATGAGGGTAATGGGTATTTATTCTGAATAAAATACCAAAACCCAACAGCCTACCCAACAATAGAATGAATATGAATATATAGATATAGATCACACACATACCATAGTTGCAAATTCATGAACAGCATCCAATTATAATATTTATACAATTTAACATCAATTGAATAATTGGAATAAAATAATCTAAGCATATTTGTCACTATTAAATACCTACAGCTTTTTCATTTAATATTATCAGTCTTTTGTATTAAATTGCCTTTCTAAACACTAGTGATTGACAATTATCTAATACCAACTTGCTCTCTACCTCCAACAGTTTACCACCATTCAGCATTTTGACTGAGAATATGTTTAATGCATTATGTGGGGCTTTCCCACAGAACGCAGTAACTACATATATATCTAAAGAATGCTGAAAGAATGTTACACGTAAGACAAAGAGGTATCATGCAGGGTCAACACTTCATATCTCAATATGCATTTGATGAAGTAGGCTCTTGCCATAATAAGTTAATGTGCCAGTGGACTTTACTGTGCAGACAGGCAAGGAATTGAGACACATATGGCCCTTGCCTCTTGGGATCAGATGTACGAACAAGCAAATCCAATTCCTACCTATAGGGCCATTCAGATGTGCCCTACAAAGACAGGTAATAAACATTAATATCTAGCAAAAGAAGCAAAACATGTTTCTCCCTAAGATTATTATGCTGCTTAACCTTTTTTAGTATTTTTAAATAAATGTTGTAGTAGATATGTTAAAGAAAATGCACTATAATTTATTTGTTTAAAATCTGTTTTACTGAAAAAAAAACCACATACACCATGATTACAGCTCGGAACAGTACATTCTGTTGCAGATTATTTAAAATTTACATTAAGAGATTGTTTTGAAAAAAGTACACAAGCAGCCTAAGGCTGCTTTTAAGCTAAGAACAGGACTGACATAACACTGTTGAGAGATGTGTGTACTCATTAAGGATTTAAACCTTCTCCATTAAGCTCTATTGAAGAGCAAATGCTGAATAAATGAATGCAACTATGTTTATGTTAAAAGCCTGTTTCCCCGCAGCGTGTAATTAAAGGAAATGTTGTACAAAGCCAGTACTTTTGTCAAGCTCCTGTAAATGGAAAGATGGATAGCACTCAGAGAAGTGAATGCATTGCTTCATATTTAACCTTAACACTCTTGTCATTAATGGTTTGTCTAACTTATTCTATAAAGACAAGGTACTGCTCCATTGAAGTAAAATTTAAAAAATCAACTAAACCATGCTTTTCAGAACAGAAGATTCATTATCGTTGACTAATGTATTGGCATAAAGCAAAGTAACATCCTATCAAGTAGGGCACACATTCAATCTGCCTTACCACCCCCCTTTTATTTTTAACTCATGCTGTTTTATTGTTATAGGCAATTTGTACCACTCAGCATGACAGTGTAAACTGAATCAAGATTAATTTACATGCAAAAGAACACTTAGCATGGTAAGCAAATGTATTGTCTCAATTGCTGAGGTGGAAAGGAACCTGAAAAGAAAAAAAAAGTGCTCTAATTAAGGGGCATCAAATATGATTGCTTGTGGTAGTTAAGGGCCAGAAAATAGGGAATGTCTGACCATTTAAAGAATTAGCACCTTCCTTGTTAGAAGAACAAAAAATGTTCGAAGCATAAATCTTGATAAAATCAAATAAACATTTGGTTGGCTGATTTCTTTTCAAAAACATGGCTTTTTCCAATTGAGATCCACTAGGTGAAAATAAATGTGCCAACTTAAATTACCAAAATTTTATCTTTTGAAAACATCTAGAAGAGAGGATTATTGTTTGAGAAATAATTACATGTCTAGGAAGCTTAATACTGGAAAAACTAGTGGCCACTTATAAAAGCATGTGCAGTTTTAATGTAGTGCCCCTTATGGGTACAAAATCATAAAGGTGGAAGATACAAAGCTTTTGCAGCAAACCCATCAAAGAATCTTGCAGTATTTTAAAGAGTAACAAGTTTTATTTGGCACAAAGTTTCCTGGTCTTGGCTACAGTCCACAAAAGCTCGTGCCAAACAAAACTTTTGACCTTTCAGGTGCCACAAATCTCTTTGTTGCTTTTGCTGCAACAGACTACAAACTAAGACAGTTACTCCTCTGGAAATTTACAGAAAGCTTTTGGAATTTTTATTACTACAAAAGTTGAAAAAGACATAGACATGTTTCTCAACAATGTTAGATCCTTTGCTTCTTAAACAGTCTTGCTGCCATTAACTTCAAGGGAATCAAAATAAGAAAACAATAGTGCATTATTGTGTTTTAATAGTGGCAGAAATGGTGGAGACATTGATGGGAGATTTATATCAATAAGCATTGCTCAGTAATTTAAAGCCTGGAAACAAAAACAAGAGAAAAGATGGAGGTAAATGCTGCCAGGTATGCTGGGTCAAAACACCAAAATCAGAAAAACCACCGTTAGTGTTTTTAGTTGGCTAAGGCAGATTGCACACCAAATACTCTGAAAGAGGTTTCTTCAGCTTAGAATAGAGAATCTAGTGAAACAGTATGATAAAGCTTAGTGTATCATGCACCACAAGCACGTAAATGCAGCTCCCCATCATCTACTGCTGCTTAGAAAACTTAAATAAGCATGAATATTCAGAAGCCCATTTCCCTACTGCTTTTCTTCAACCCAATCAGAGGAAACCTACAAGTTCTCATAAGGGGAAAGAGTGAGAGGGAGAGAGGGAGTGGTGGTGGTGATGTAAAAATTGTACAGGTTTTTATTATTAATTTTAAGAAATCTATATATGCTTTATATCAGTTCCAAATAACTAAAAAAGTTATATTTCTATGTTTGGGAATCTACAGTTCCTTACCAAAGTTTACAAAATAAAATTTAAAAACAAGCATTTTTAGATATGAAGGTTTCAGTCATTTCACAAAAGAACATCTGGATAATCCCAGTTAAAAAATACAAACAACTGAAGAATTCTGAAACACATGGAGGATCTCATATTATATCTGAGATCATCAGGAAGAGCACAAATTTTATCTGATCCACTTTTTTGCAGTAAAGGTTTCAGTGGTGAAACTTGGAAGAAATACATTAGACTTAGATGTTTAGGCTAAAATCCTATATATATGTAGGATATACACAAGGAGTAAGTTGTGTTGAAGTCAGTGGGGCTTACTGATGAGTAGACATGTGCAGAATTGCTCTACAAGCCAACTGTTTAGTAACACTATTTAAGAATTCTCTGTAAGCTCTTCCTTAATCTTGTTTAGAAAATACATAAAGCTGAGAATTGAGACTTCTATTATCACAAACCTTCCAAAACACCTGAAACATTTAACTAAGAAGATGCTAAAGAAAAAAGGCTTTTAAACCTGTGGTAAATTTGCCAGCATCAGTCCTGCATCACAGAATGAATTCAGGAAGACAGAAAGAGCAATACTGAAATGTCAAGAGACCTTCATGGATTTACAAATACTTCATATAAACAAATTTTCAAATAGCTTTATTCAGAGTAGCCTTTCTGCTCTATTAAACATAGCAAACAGCTGCCAGATTTATTCAGACAAATAATCAACAACCACAGAAGTAAAATGGCAGAAGAAAAAGGAATTTTGGCAACAACTCCACAGAGGACCACAGCTATTCTCAAAGTGCACTTCTTCTATGCACTCATGGTTCTGAATGGCCAGTCAGGGGAGAAAAAGCTCTCAGTCACAGCTAAGCATACAAACTCAATCAAAATACCAACCAAGCAAGCACACAACAAGAATGGGCGAGGGAAAGAAAGAGTGCAATATCCAGTTTTACTTAAAATTGCACTATAAGATGACAGTTTAAGCAATGATGGAACAAATCACAAGATATGACAAGGCCACACTCACTCACCTTGATTTGCTGAGCACATGTAAAGCAGACTTTAGCCAGCAAAGAGTAAGAACAGCAAATAGTTAAAAAAATAATTGGCCTTGCTGTTTTATTGCATAGATGAGTTACATTAAAATAATGAAAAAGAAATATCTGCAAAGACAAATGCATTCTTTATTTCAAGCCAGAAAATGCACAAAGAGAAGATATAAACAGTTTTTATTAAATGCATACAGCTTTACTTCTGTATTTCTTTTTTATTTTTTTAAAAAATTCCAGAACATGCAGACTGAAGAAAGTCATGGATATAAAAGCCTGCATCAGAATACTGAATGAAATCTATTTTTCTCATGTAGAAAGTATGGAAGTGAAATAAACCAAAGCCCACACTATTGTTTGACTTCTCTAAATACAGCATCAAATGAAGCTTATCACTAAAGTACTGGTACTGCAAAAGGGTGTTTCACATATAGTTGGTGCTACTTAGGCCATGTAAAGTCTACAAGAAGAGACTTCTGTATTTTTAAAAGCATGACATTAAAATTAAGTGAGCAAACTAAATACCCATACAAAAACATTCTTTTCAAACAGGAAGCTGAGGAGTTTAATACTAAATGGTAGTGTCAGGCCCATAATGCTAATTAATTTTAATGCAGTTGGGACAAAGTACACTAGCTATATACAAGCAAAAGCTTTAAAATGAGGACTAAAATGCAAAGCAAAGTATTAGTATGGCTGAATTATTTCTTAGAGTGGCTTTGGCCAATATTCTAGCCATTAGGACTAATATGAAATGCATTAGTGCCATCACTGAAGGAAAGTTTAACTCTAAGGGGCAAGTACCGGTTATAGCCTAATTATTCCCCCCAATACATTAATCAGTTGTCAAGTACCAGTAAAATGTACACTCTGGTCTGGTTGCAGAATCATTTGGAGGTTTCATAAATTCTGAAGCTATGAATTCTAAAGCAGAAAAATGAGAGGCAGAGCGGAGTTCTTTCTCCCTTGTTCCTCCTCTCTCCCATGCCTACTCATACCAACTTCATTATGAACATGCTCACTTGTTTTATTCATTTATTTATTTATTTAAAAGTTCCCTGTTATGTCTGAACTGGGGAATGGTGATTAACATCCTGGCCAAGTTTTTTCAGTCCAGATGTAATGAGGAACTGTGGATTAATTCAATCTAATAAATTTGTGCTGAAGACAGCATAATAGGTGTAGGGAAGGGTGAAGGAGGAGTATTCATTTCTTATGCTCATTCATTCTCTACAGATACACAAATGATAATCTGCATATGGTCTGTGTGCTATTTCTGGAAGTATTCTCTTTAGTGATGCTAACACAAGATCAGAAAAAGATGTGTACATTTTTAAATAAAAGATTATTCATACTTTTTGCAAAAATACTGTAAAGAACAAAACACACATCTGCTTTAAACATATTTTCTCACCTCGTTCCTTCTTGAAGTCATTTTCTGACATAGTTACTGGTAATAACAATTCTCCAACAGGGGGCTGAACATTAACACTGAACTGATCGCTCTTTGTACTGCAAAACCAAACACAAATAAATTGCAAGTAAGAGGTGTGTAAATGGTTTAGTAGAACAAACATTTGCTTTATGAATAAAATATTAATTAATTTATTCCTTCAGATCAGTCAGACAAGAAGATTCAAAACACCAAAATAATGACTGAAGCAGTAACAGCCATAGCAAAAGGGATGTGCTACAGTTTACTCTTCAGCAGCAGCAGTGTAGGTGGGTGGGTGAGTGGCTGTTCTTTCTTTTAACCTCTGGTCAGATCATTTGTCCACTGTTTCCACCATCTCAACAAATCTATTTAGCAAGTTACTATTATTATTTTACACACCACTGACTGAGTCATGGACACAGATTTAAAAGCCAGGGCAAGTACAGCTACACCTACTGGCAATCTGTATCCAAACCAATCAACGTAATGCAATGATATGAGGTTTTCTTCCCTCATCAGTTAAAGGAGGGCTATGATAGTGAAAATAGATGAGAAATTAATGTTAGATAAGAAGAGAAACTAGCATTAATATTAAGGTGCATGTAACTCTTTATATGCACTGAGGAAGTGGAAAATTCTGACCTAATCTCATAATACATTACTCAAAAAGCCATAACACTTCTTTTTTCTTTTCTTTTTCTTTTCTTTCTTTCTTTTTTCTTTTGGCTGAACCAACCTCACACAACTACCCCTTTGGAAATTACTTTCATTTAGTAGCATCAATCACCTATAAAATAAAGCTAAAAGATTCAATACAGTGGACATTTATGACTCAGTAGCATTTAATATAATGATAATTGCATCCCATCAAGTCAATTCTGAGTTCTGGCAACTCTTTGCAGATTTTCTAGGTACAGAGTACTAAGAAGTACTCTAATTTTGATATTTTATTACTACAAGAGACGTGGTCCCAAAGGGAACTAATATTACATGGTTTTCCAACTCACACCCTTATAGCAGCTCCCGGTGGGAAAGGTGGCCCGTTAAAAGGTGGCATGGCCATCCTTACAACAACGAAGCTGCAGATATCAGTTGTAAACCTGCAGCCCACCTGTAACCTAGCACTGGTGGCCATTTTGAATTGTACTATACAGCCCTTGTTGCTTATCAATGTCTATATGCCCCCGCAGCCTGCTTGTACCCAGTCCAAAGACCATTGGGCAAAACTAACAGAATATTATTATTATTTATTTATTGGACTTATATATTGATATATTGATAGTCTAGTTTTATTATATCCAACAGCTTCTTTAATGGAGTACTAAGAAGTGGTTTATCAATTCCTCCTTCTGGAGGTACCCCGGGACTGTGCAGCTTGCCCATAACCACACAGGCTGGCTCATCTGAAACACACAGTGGGGATCTGAACTACGATAACAACTACAACGACTACTATTAAACTGCCCATCTCGCTGCAAGGCCCCTCTGGGTGGTTTACAATATAAAACACTAACACATGTGCGCACGCAGACACACAAATCAGACATAATGGTTATACAAAAATCAAAATCAGAAATCAAAATTGGAATAGACCATCACTAATAGCCCAAACAACAACGTCATAAATATAAATACCATTAATTTAACAGGCAAGGTGGCAGAGCAAAAATAAATGTTGAGAACTACCAACTTCTGGCTCAGCAGTCAGATACTTAACCACAGAGCTATCCAGCCAGCTAGTGTTTAACATAGATCATCTCTAAGCAAAATGACTAGCTCTACCCTCCATTATGAAAAACACACGTCTACAACTAGGGATAGGACTTTTTGTATCTTAAGAACATCCACTCCCATAATTTGGAGAGACCTCCACCCAGGCCAAATTATGGGAACAAGGGCCTTCAAATCAGCAGATGTTGTTCCAGCACTGTCAGACAGGAAGAAAAGTGTTGTACTACACTGAGGGAGTTGTGAAGATTCTCTATGACTCACAAAGGTGCATGAATTCTGACTGAAAATTTACTGTCAAAAGGAATTATTGAAGTCCTTAAGATACAAAACGTCCATTTCTATTTATGACCACTACAACAAGCCCTGTAAACTGCTGTGTCTATGATAGCAAGCATGATAGAAAGAAAGCAGAGATGGGAGGGAGAAGAAAGAAGACAGAGTGGCCATAGGGAAATACCCAAATTGCAAACTAGAGAAGGAATAATAGAATCACTGAATAATAGAGGTGGAAGAGACCCCAAGGGTCAATGAGTCCAACCCCATACCAATGCAGAAAAAGGTATGAACGAGAAATAGGAACAACAGGGGAAATCAGAAAGGAGTGGGAGAATGCCCAAAACGCAAGGTAGAGAGGAGACGAGGGACGAGAAGGGAGAAGACAGAAAAAGTTGGAGTGGAGTGTTCACCAAGCAGTCTAGAGGAAAGTGGTATAAAGGAGGGCAAGGAAAGTCTAAGGGGGCTATTCTGCAAGTAAACAAAAAGAGGAGGCAGGATGGAGAAATGGAAGGCAACAGAGGTTTCATTTATACGGCATGAAAATTCTCTAGGAACCAAACCCCTATTTTAACAATAAGCCTAGCAGAGAAGCAGGACTCCACTCAAAATGACTTACTTTCGCTCCATAAGACGCACCTCTCCATAAGACGCACCAAATTTTTAGGAGAAGAAAACAGGAAAAAAAATCTGTTTTCTTCTCCTACAAATTGGTGAGCCTTATGGAGAGGTCCGTCTTATGGAACACAACCTAGGACCATTTGGAGGCTCACCCAGCCCCCCCGAAGGCCATAGGGGGCAAAATCACCACCTTCTGGGGCTCTTTTGAGGCTTGGAAAGCTTCAGAAGAGCCCCAGAAGGTGGCAATTTCGCCCCCTCTAGCCTGGTGGGGGGGCAGGGTGAGCCTCCAAAGGGTCCTAGAGTGTGTTCCAGACCCTTTAGAGACTCACCCTGCCCCCCCCGGGGTCAGAGGGGCCAAAATTGCCACCTTCTGGGGCTCTTTTGAGGCTTGGGAAGTTTCAGAAGAGCCCCAGAAAATGGCAATTTTGCACCCCTGGACCCGTGGGGAGGGGAAGCATGGCAAGGGTCCAAGGGAGCCTTCCAGACCCTTGCCACACTCCCCCCACAGGGCCAGCGCGGGCGAAATAGCGACCTTCCAGGACCTATTGAGAAGCTTTCAAGCCTCTCAAAAGGTCCTGGGAGCTGGCGATTTTGCCCCCCCTGGACCTGTGGGGGGGTGGAGGAAGCATGGCAAGGGTCCAAGGGACCCTTCCAGACCCTTGCCACACTCCCCCCACAGGGCCAGCGCGGGCGAAATAGCGACCTTCCAGGACCTATTGAGAAGCTTTCAAGCCTCTCAAAAGGTCCTGGGAGCTGGCGATTTTGCCCCCCCTGGACCTGTGGGGGGGTGGAGGAAGCATGGCAAGGGTCCAAGGGACCCTTCCAGACCCTTGCCACACTCCCCCCACAGGGCCAGCGCGGGCGAAATAGCGACCTTCCAGGACCTATTGAGAAGCTTTCAAGCCTCTCAAAAGGTCCTGGGAGCTGGCGATTTTGCCCCCCCTGGACCTGTGGGGGGGTGGAGGAAGCATGGCAAGGGTCCAAGGGACCCTTCCAGACCCTTGCCACACTCCCCCCACAGGGCCAGCGCGGGCGAAATAGCGACCTTCCAGGACCTATTGAGAAGCTTTCAAGCCTCTCAAAAGGTCCTGGGAGCTGGCGATTTTGCCCCCCCTGGACCTGTGGGGGGGTGGAGGAAGCATGGCAAGGGTCCAAGGGACCCTTCCAGACCCTTGCCACACTCCCCCCACAGGGCCAGCGCGGGCGAAATAGCGACCTTCCAGGACCTTTTGAGAGGCTTGAAAGCTTCTCAAAAGGGCCTGGAAGGTCGCTATTTTGCCCGCGCTGGCCCCGTGGGGGGGCGGGGGAGCATCTCAACGGTGCTGGAAGGCTCACTCGGTCCCTTGCGACGCTCCCCCCACGGGGCCAATGAGGGCGAAGTCACCACCTTCGCACCATAAGTCGCACAGACTTTCTCCCCCCCCTTTGGAGAGGAAAAAAGTGCGTCTTATGGGGCAAAAAATACGGTACTTTACAACCACTGTCAGGAAATTAGTTAGGTTTTAAGTGCAGAAGTCTGCTGTATCACCTCTTCCTCTACATATGTTCTCTGTGCTCTCAGTTTACTGTTATTCATGCCCACTGCCAACCCAGTAAGAAGTATCCCTAAGTTTGTTTTAACCTCCCCCTAAATCCCCCTTTAGGGTTCCATGCTCAATCAAAATCTGTGCCTCATTCTAAATCCCTAGTTGACATTATGCCTACACTAGACCTTTGAACCCCTTCATGGATTGCTGCCTTGTCGTGGCGAAGGGGCTTGAGTAACCCAGAGAAGCTATGGGCTATGCCGTGCAGGGACCCAAGACGGACAGGACATAGTGAAGAGTTCCGACTAAACGCAATCCACCTGGAGTAGGAAATGACAATGCCACTCCAGTATCTTTGCCAAGAACGCCCCTTGATCAGAAACAAAAGGCTAAAAGATATGACACTGGAAGATGGGCCCCTCAGGTCGAAGGCGTCCAACATGCTACTGAGGAAGAGCACAGGACAAGTACAAGTAGCTCCAGAGATAATGAAGTGGTTGGCCAAAGCCGAAAGGACGCTCAGCTGTGGACGTGCCTGGAAGTGAAAGGAAAGTCCGATGCTGCAAAGAAAAATACTGCATAGGAACCTGGAATGTAAGATCTATGAACCTCAGGAAGCTGGAGGTGGGTCTAACAGGCGATGGCAAGAATAAACATCGACATCCTGGGCATCAGTGAACTAAAATGGACAGGAATGGACGAATTCAGCACAAATGATTATCATATCTACTATTCTGGGCAAGAATCCCGTAGAAGGAATGGACTAGCCTTCATAGTCAACAAGAGTGGGAAAAGCTGTAATGGGATACAATCTAAAAAATCATAGAATGATGCCAATATGAATCCAAGGCAGACCTTTCAACATCACAATAATCCAGGTTTATGCACCAACCACCATTGATGAGGAGACTGAAATTGAACAATTT